TGTCGTTGTCGTTGTCGTAGTCGTAGTCGTAGTCGTAGTCGTAGTCGTAGTCGTAGTCGTAGTCGTAGTCGTAGTCGTAGTAGTCGTCGTCGTCGTAGTCGTAGTAGTCGTAGTAGTCGTAGTGGTAGTGGTAGTGGTAGTGGTAGTGGTAGTGGTAGTGGCAGTGGTAGTGGTAGTGGTAGTGGTAGTGGTAGTGGTAGTGGTCGTAGTAGTGGTAGTGGTAGTGGTAGTGGTAGTGGTAGTGGTAGTGGTAGTGGTAGTGGTAGTGGTAGTGGTAGTGGTAGTGGTAGTGGTGTGGCAGCAGCAGCAGCAGCAGCAGCAGCAGCATCAGCTGCAGCTATAAAAATGATAGCATCAGTTGTCGTTGTGGTGGTGATGGTCGGTAGTGTAATTGTGTAGGGCTGGCAGGGCTGGGAGTAGTCCTCGTGGCAGTGGCAGTAGTAATGGTGGTAGTATACATATATATATATATGTAGGAGTAGCGGCGACGACCCGCGGCTGCAGTGCTAGCAGTCATAAGACGTAGAAGTTCCAGTAGCATACCCGGGAGGAGGAGAAGCGTTTGTGCTGGCAGCATCGGTACGAGAATAAAAGCGTGTGTTCGCAGCAGTAGTTGTCGTCTTACCGGCGTCGTGGTGGCGGTAGTGGACATGCTTGTGAGCAGCCACCGCCTCCGCCGGCATCATCGTGCTGTTAAAGTCGTTTAACAGCAGAGACACCAGGAAGACCAGTCGACCAGTCGTGCAATGGGCTGTTGAGACTATATAGTTAAACTACGGTGCGGAACTATGCTCCCATCGCTTTGGAAGGCACAGCTCGAAGCCAACATCTCACTGTGACCAGGCTTCGATCAGAGCTACTGCGAGAGTTGAGGCATCCGGGTTTAGGGTTTAATGTTTAGGCCTTAGGGTTGTAAGCTGCCATCGTGCAACTCTGTTTTGGTCCTTGGCCCCTGAGAGCAGTGGATCGGGGATTTTGTGTCTGGGGTGCTAGTCGTTCGATGGCCACATCACCCCTGGAGTTCAGGTCCACGAGCCATAATCCCTAATCCCTAAACCCTATACTAGAAGCCATATAAACCCTAAAGCCCATAACCCCCAAACCCTAAACCCCAAAACCCCAAAGCCCCTTCAAACCTTGAGCCCCAAAGCCCAGAATCCAAACCCAAACCCTAAGCTTGAAATCATAAAACATGAGCATCCGAAGCCTTAAACCCCGGAGAGACTCAGCTAACCAGTTGTTAAATGAAAGAGGCGGTTTCGGGTTTAGGGTTTAGCTATCTTTTAGATATGCGTAGGTGGGCCAGACCAGGTCATCCGAGTACCAGTCGCTGTAGACTGGAGGTGACAAATGAGAACCACTCCACTATAGTGGACTGCTGTGGACCCTACAAGTGTTTAGGGGTTTAGGCTTTCGGGTTTTCGCCAACTGCCCCAATTACAAGGCCGCCTGAAGCTGTAAAGCCATGCGCAACTCTTAGGAAGTTCTTATGAAGCCTTCTTCTAGGCGTAAAGGCCCCTGTAATCCTTAGCTTTAAACCCGAAGCCCTTAAACCCTAAACCCTAAACCCTAGGCTTGTCCGAGTGAGAGTGCTGAAAGCCTAAACCCTAAACCCTATAAATCAAACCCGGGGACTTCCCGTTGAAAGCCCAGGACACCCGGCGGCGCTTGGCACCTTGGCGGCTTCTGCTTCGGCCAGGCCACGGGGGATGCGACAAAGGCAGCCGAGGTCAGGGCCCACGTGGAGTGGGAAGCTGGGATCAAGAAAGGGCTTTTCGGAATTTTGATGCTTTTTGGAATTTTGTGCTGTTGGAAGTTGCGCCTCCTCGAGATTTGCAAGGAACTCTTAAAGGTTTCTATAAGAATTCGTTAAGGGCTCCTGTTGAGTTTGAGGGTGTGGCGCCTGGGAAGCTGCGACATGGTGAGCAGACACATGTAAGATACGGGCCTTAATAATTAGAACAAGGTTTTGGGGGTATAAATATAAAGCTATAATTATGATAAGGAACCCCCCAAAACTCTATTCTACTTATTAAGGGCCCGACATTAAGGTACCAACTCTTGGGACGCATGTGTTTGGGTTCCTAGTTGAGGTGGAGGGTCTCGGGTGTACACAGTTAAGATGTACTAAACCCTAAACCCTAA